CAGGCGAGCCACTTACAAATCCACCAAGGCGGCGAGGGGGAATGGATGGAGAGATTTGGGTTCCGCAGTGAAATGCCCGATGAGGGAGAAGCAGGAATTTGAAGCAAGGCTGGAGAAGGTCGAACCTGAGGAGAGAGGGTTATTATTTGCAGAGAGGGATAACCTCCTCCATCAGCGGTTGTTAAGTCAAAAGAGGCGGGAGTTTGAAGAAAAGAAAAAGTTGAGGGAGGAGGGAGAAGCGCTCCAGCGAAGGTTGAAAGAGCAGAGGGGCAAGGAGACTGACACAAAGGAGGTTTTGACGCTCGTGACCGACGCCCTGCTGCACACCGCCCAGGAACTGACCGCACTGCAGAAGACTATAGGGAAATTGGAACGACACCAAGAAAAATTTAAGGATACGTGGAACGATTTCCTCTACGCATCCACTCACCGGATTGACGATAGGACCGCCAATTATGCTCAGCAGTTAGAAGACATCTTCACCAACAAGCTTGTGAACACCATCGCAGCAGTAAAGATAGGCGGCGGTGGTGGAGGAGGAGATGGTGGAGATCCGGGAGATGATGGAAAAGGAGGAGGAGATCAAAAAGGAGATGTGAACCGGAAGGGGAATGAACAGCGAACTGAAGGAGGAGAAAGGAGGGAGAAGATGGAAGGTTAAGGTCCCGTGGACCTACAACGGGAAGAAAGAAGAGAACTTTTTGTGTTGGCAGGCAGCAATGGACACATACGTGTATGCGCAGTTAATCCCTTACCACGACCGTGTGTTGATGGCCAGTTCATGTCTTGGAGGGGACGCTGCCAACTTCGCCTTATCCTCGATGAAGGCAGCGGGTTGCTCGTCGATGGTAGAGTATTCCCAACGCAACCGCATAGAGGACTTTATGAAAGCTCTCAAGGAAAGGTTCGAGGACAAGAACCTGGCCCGGCGTACAGAGTACTTGATTCTCAACATCGGTAATCACAGGTGGACGAGTGTGTCCGCTTTGAAGTCCACATTGGACGAGCTGCAGTGTCCCGAGCACGGGTTGACTCCCACGCAGATTCTGAACAACTTTGCAAGGGCACTTCCCGATCCTTTGAAGTCCCAATTGTACGCCCAGACAAAGGAAGAGGGCATGACGTATGAAAAGTTCAGCAAGATTGCTGTAGACCAGGCCGGTTTCCTTCAAGAAGCAAATTACTGTCATTATTGGAAGGATTTGCAGAAAGGGAACCGATGGAAGAACAAGACCATATCCGGTAACATCGAGGAGAAGGACGGGCTTCTAGTTACATTTGAGGAGGGGGGAGTGGAGGCTCTACCCTACGAAAACATAGATTACGGACTGGAAGACCCGGACAGCAACCAATTAGCCCAGGGAGGGGACTATGCGGTTGTTGCAGCCCGCGGGGGAGGGCGACAAGGAGGTAGAGGAGGTCGAGGTAGAGGAGGCCGAGGAAGAGGTGGAGGTAGAGGACGCGGCACCCAGGGGAGTAGTAGCGAAGGTAGCTACTACGTGCGAGGTAGGGGTAATGGTTCCCCGCAAGGTGGACGTGGTTCTCCCTTCACAGGAGGAAGAGGTAGAGGGCGCAAGCCATGGCCAGCCCATCCCGGGATTGCTGATGGCGAGGCCTGGACGGAGATGGGCATTGACCAGACAGTGTGGCAGAAAAGGCTGAACGCCAATCAATGCTTGAAATGTGGTGATCCTCATCACATTGTCTGTTTTTGCCCCGACTACCGCTACCCAAAAGGGAGCAGCCAGTAGGGGTGGCAGCTGCTCCTACAGGGCCTTCAGACTTAGACAGACAGATAGAAGCGTGCGCTGAACAGGCACCCTCCTGTCTGAAGAGCCCAATGGCATAAGCTGATGGAAGCCCCCACCTAGATGGCTGTCCAGAGACCGCTTGTGCTAGGGTCTCTCTAGGTGGCAGGCATTGGTGATGAGGTGATCACTCGTCGCCCTGCCTGGGCTGAAATGAAGAAGAGAAGAGGACAACTAATTTTGGGAGATGTAGAGATTAGTCGGACGCGAGTAGGAGCCTTAGTGGATAGTGGCTCTACGCGTAGTTTTATTAGTAGAAGAGGACTGAAGAAGTTGCACTTAGGAATGAAGGTGCAAAAGTTGAGCGAGCCGGTAGTGAGTAGACTGGCCGATAATCGTGAGATGCGTGTGGAGGAATATGTCGAGGGGATCAAGGCATACTTCCGGTTAGAGGAGGGAAGGAAAGTAGAGAAGGTTTTGCATTCCCTCACCCTCTTAGTGGAAGACAACCTTCCCTTTGACTTGATTTTAGGGACAGACTGGGGAGAATCAACCATGGCAGATGTCAAGATGGGTGAGCACAAGTGCTGGCTGCCCAGCCCCACCAGGGGCAAGAAAAAGATGAGGCTGTTCCATGAGTCCGGTCTAGAGTCCCACTTATCTGTTTGCTGTATGAGTGCCCCTGCGTTCGCCCGACACGTGACAAAGGAAAAGTTGGAAGATCAGGTGTTTGTGGCCTATGTGAAACCGGTGAGTGAAGAGAGTAAGGGTGAAGACAAGACGCCGCCCCAAGTGGAGAACCTGCTGCGAGAGTTTGCTGATGTCAAAGCAGCCCCAACCGGAGTAGTAGAGCGGGACGTCAAGCACCGGATTGAAATAGAGCCCGGTAGCAAGATTCCCAGGGGCCCAGTTTATAGAATGTCTCCCAAGGAACTGGATGAACTGCGCAGGCAACTAGATGAGCTGATTGAGAAGGGGTGGATAAAGCCCAGTTCGTCACCATACGGTGCACCGGTTCTATTCGTGCCGAAGAAAGAGGGTGAACTGCGGTTGTGCATTGATTACCGGGGATTGAATGCTATCACGGTCAAGAATGCTGAACCATTGCCCCGGATTGATGACCTCTTAGACAGGGTGCAGGGATGTAAGTATTTCTCCAAGATAGATCTGAAGTCCGGGTACCACCAGGTCGAGGTACAGCCGGAGGACCAGCACAAGACGGCCTTTAGGACTCGCTATGGTCACTACGAGTTTGTTCTGATGCCGTTTGGGTTGACCAATGCTTCTGCAACATTCCAAAGATGCATGAATGATCTGTTTAGAGATTGGTTGGATAAGTTTGTTGTAGTTTATTTAGATGATATTCTGATCTTTAGCAAGAGCTTGGAGGAGCATCAGAATCATCTACATCAGATATTGACCAAATTGCGTGAGTCTAATTTTAAGATTAACCCGAAGAAGTGTGAGTGGGCCAAGCGTCAAGTCCTGTATTTGGGACACGTGGTAGATGGAGATGGAGTGAGACCGGAGGACGCCAAGATAGCAGCAATTCGTGACTGGCCAACCGTGCACACGTTGACTGAGTTGCGGTCGTTCTTAGGACTGGCCAACTACTACCGGAAGTTCGTTCGTAACTTCACTTCCGTTGCTGCTCCTTTGCGTCGGCTGCTGCGAATGGAAACTGTTTGGAATTGGGACAAGGACTGTACATCAGCCTTCAAGAAGTTGAAAAAGTCCCTTATCAAGTACCCGGTCCTTAAAGTAGCTGATCCATCCTTACCGTTTGTTGTAACTACCGATGCTAGCCAGTACGGCATTGGCGCTGTTCTCCAACAGAATGATGGAGATGGGTACAGGCCCGTTGAGTTTATGTCTTGCAGGCTCCCTRGTGAGAAGGTAGCAGCATCAACTTATGAGCGTGAGCTCTTCGCCCTCAGACAGGCTTTAGACCRTTGGCGACACTACSTGCTAGGAYGACACTTCAAGGTATACTCAGATCATGAAACTCTGCGTTSGTTGAAGACCCAGGCCCGCATGACTCYTAAGTTGACTAGGTGGGCTGGGGAGATTRATCAGTTTGATTTTGAGTTGAAACMAGTCAAGGGTAAGTACAATGTCGTTGCTGATGCATTGAGCAGACGTGCAGATTTCTWTGGTGCAATAGTGACTTACCTAGACGYTGGCSCAGATCTGCAGCAAAAGATCAAGGCTGCATACACTGATGATCMYGTGTATARTACRCTGATAAAGAAGGTGCAGACCACACCTYAGGAAGTCGCTGATTTCAGAATGGTCGATGGACTGCTGTTTGAAAAGACTGATGTGCATGATAGGCTCTGCATACCGTGTAATGAAGAGGTACGCAGTCTGATCCTAGGGGAATGCCACGATACTGAAGGCCACTTTGGCTGGCGGAAGACCTATGCTACCCTACTAAGGTCCTACACGTGGCCAGGCATGAAACATGATTGTATCACCTACATCCAAGGCTGCCAAGTATGTCAGAGGAACAAGAGTTCCACGCRGCCTCCCCTCGGACTGTTGAAACCCTTGCCTATCCCATCTGGTCCCGGTGAATCTGTATCTATAGATTTCATGGACACTAAGGTCAAGAGTCGTAGTGGGAAGAGTCAGGTCATGGTCGTAGTTGACAGGTTTAGTAAATTCGCCGTTTTTGTACCATTATCTGCTGAAGCAAAGACAGATCTGGTCATCAAAGAGTTCTTTAATCATTGGGTCAAGGATTACGGTCACCCGTTGAGCATAGTTAGTGACCGAGATACCCGGTTCACAGGGGAACAGTGGCAGCAGTTAATGAAGGTCTACGGATCTAAGTTAGCTATGTCATCTGGTCGCCACCCTGAGACAAATGGCCAGACCGAGCAGATGAACAAGATTCTACAGCAAGTACTGTGTATGTACATTAGACCAGATCAGGTAGATCGGGCTGAACATCTTCCCAAAGTAGCTAGTGCGTATAACAACTCGGTTCACCTAGCTACCTCGCGGACCCCGAACGAGCTCCATAGAGGCTGGAGTCCCCGACGTCCCATAGACTGTTTGAATCCGGATCAGATCCAGAGACTGCCACCTGGCACACGTGAGTTTGCCATTCAGTATGAGAAGGATTTGCAACTTGTGAGAACATCCGGAAGGCCCAGTATCAAATGATGGAACAGGCGAACAAGCACCGTCGCCCGTCACAGTTTGGGATAGGTGATCTTGTCTGGGTCAAGTCTAAAGAGTTTATTCCCGAGGAAGGGATTTCGCAGAAGTTGCTACCTGCCTACAGAGGGCCGTGGCAAGTGCTAGATGTCAAAGGTGACGCAGATGGACCGTCATACACCATCAAGATGCCACCCCATTTGCACACCTATCCCGTTTTTCACGCTTCTAAGCTCCTTCCCTGTGTGACTAATGATGTATTTCCCTCGCGCAGATCTATGATTCCACCTGATATGGATGGAAGATATGATGTCGAGAAGATTGTAGCTGAGGACACCTTCCGTACAGGTCGTAGAGGGAGGCCGCAGAGACAATACAAGGTCAGATTTGCTTATCAGGATCCCAGCGAAGATCGCTGGTTCACCAGGGATGAGTTAGTTCAGACAGCCCCTCATATAGTGTCATACTACGAGCGGGCACGCAGAGGATTGAACATCTATGATCGCTAAAGTTCTGACTTTTCTCGGAGGACCTCGAAATTAGGCCGGCGGGAGTGAATGGATTCACACTGCAAGCTTTCCCAGTCCCGGTTACAGGGTCCTACATCATCCCAGTCCCAGGCCCCCGTCGATTAGAATCTTAGGGCCTGTAGGATCAGGCGTCGCAGGCCGGTTGGCTACAGTACCGTACAGTACCTGTAGGAGCATGTCAAGTCCCCAAAAAGTACAATTTTGCAGCAGCCTCACAAAAAAGTTGGGAATTTTCCCAAAATAGCATTTTGGCAAGGCAGAGGCCGAAGGAGGCCAGTACCGATTGAAGCAGGAACGAAACAGTCCACTGCAACTATATATCTTGGACTACAGTGCCAAAAGGGTCACTTGTTCATTTCGCAGAATTGTGGAAGCGTTGCGAGAGCTTGTGTGATCAAGCGACCTGGACGAAGAAGGAGCACAAGGGGGGAGAAGTGCGCAGTGCTTGGCTGCTACAGTCAGCCATAGCCAGGCGAGAGGGGAGAGGTTCCCCGGTGGCCATAGCCACCCAGGATCAGTAAGGCACACCGTAGTAGCATTCAGGGTAGATCTAGGACGTCGAGAGAGGAACAGTCAGTGAGGAACAGTGAGGGAGGAACAGTGCAAGAGAGAGAGAGAAAGAGACTATCGAGAGAGACAGGGAAAGAAAGAAAGAGAAAAGAGAAGCAGCCCAGGGAGGAGGAACAAACTTTTCCAATTGTATATTATTGCACCTTGAGTGGAACTTCGAATTTGCACTGTTCATGGACATCACTCCAGCTTGTGTGAACTTCATCTGATTGCTCTCAATTTGCATGTTATATTCTAAGATTGAATCTTGAGAGGTTCATTTCAAATTCGTTTTTTTTTAAATAACTTTTTTCAAGTTTTTTGAACTTTTTTCCCTTTTAACTTTTTAGAAGAAAAAAGGATGCTTTCCTGAATGACCTTTCTTTCAATCAAGACACAAGCAATATGGGCATCGCTTCTTTGCTCAATTCTCTTTTCTCTATGTTTCTGACGGTACCGTTGTCCGTCTTTTTTTTTTTTTTTTTTTTTTTTTTTTCATTGTCCTCCTCTGTCCTTTGTGCTGATGTTGGCATTTTTTTTTGCTCGTATTCAATTTCTTGTGTGCAGGGTTCTTCACTCCATTCCTGTAGATGTGTCCGTGGATACCGTGGAGGTAGGATCTCATCCGGATGAACTTCTGACTTTCTAGCGATGACCTTTGGAGTGTGGACTCACAGTCAAAACAGATTTAACAGATGAACTTTGGACTTACAGTCAAAACAGATGATCTTTGGACTTACCATCGCCCTTTTTTTTTTTTCTTTATGGTTGCACAAGCGTTCAGTAGAGCTTCCTCAACACAGAATTGACAACTGAGTAGCTGTGTGAATAGCAGCTGAGTTGGGGTCTTTGTCGGCTCCAGAACGGTAGTGATCTCCCAAGGCCTGTCGGGCCGTCGTCTGCATTTTGCAAGTTCTGGAACACACCGGACTCTCCCAGGATGCTGCTGCCAAATTTAGACTGGGACTTGGACTCTTCTTGTCGGGTACCGGGCCTACCAGACGTCTAACGACCCTAAACTTTTCTGTCGGCCTACTGCACTTCTACTGACTTACAGGAGCTAAGTACGGTACTTCGGCCGCTGAGCCTGCCGGATCAACTACTTCCATGCGACGGGACAATTGGGACTTTGGGATCCGGACGCAGGACACTGACAGTGACGTGAAATCCTTTCACTCCTGCCGACCTAACTTCAAGGTCCTCCGACAAAAGCATTACCTTTCTTACCTATCTGCTATATTGACAATCATCCTAGCCCTCCCGTAGTATGATACGATGTTCGGGACTGTCTCACACAGTTCATTGTTCGTGTTTCCCATCGGTCATCTTCCGGTTCCTGGTACTTGAACCGGACCTTGTACTGTCACTGCGGGCTTTGCTGCAGGCCTTCCTCTCCTAACCGATTGGTAGACATCCTCATCTACGCTGCGATCAGTGTCGTATCAGCCTCTTCCATATCAGATTTCGGCAGATTTCGGTGAGCAGTGAAATCCAGGCAGGTGCTTACTACACGTGAAACCAGCTGCATGCAGAATCTGGGGCAGATGTGAGACTATGCCCCTCCCAACGGGCAGTTACACCCCAGCTGTATTTTTATTTTGTTTTTTGGGAAACCCCAGCTGTATTCACGGGATGAGCCAAAGAAAAAAGAAGTGTGAAAAAAAAATAAAAAAAATTGTACTCTTTCGACGTGAAAGCAGCTGGATACATAATCTGGGGCACATATGACAGCATGCCCTCCCGACGGCAGTTACTTCACGAGCCGAGCTGTATTCACGGCCGCAGCAAAAAAAAATAATATACTCTTTGGAGTCTGGAGTCTCTGCAGCTGGATACAGAATACAAAGTACAAGTGAGATTGTGCCCTAAGTTGCAGAGTAGTCATCAGCTATCCGTGTAATGCGCCACCCTGCCTCGTTGGCAGGGCACCAACAGAGGATGAAAAGAAAAAGGGAAAAACAAAGACTAACCAATAATGAAAGTACCTAAGTTTCTGGGTAGAGTGCCAGCGCGAGCAGACTTCCTTCACGGCCGTCGCCGACTTCCTCCCTTTCGACTCTGCTGCTTCTTTACTTTTTTTGTTTTTTCGTTTTGTTTTGCAATCGGGCCCACAAGTCCCAAAACTAAAGGCTTGCCGACCCTCTGCGGGGCTCCGAAAACTTTGGAATTTGGGGAAAACGGCGAGTTTTGCCGAATTTATTTTGCCTGGCGGAGTCACTAGTGGGGTTTAATGCCATACGACGAACGAGCCTCATTAAGAGAAGGGACAAAATATAAGCTGAAGATCTGAAGAAAAATGAAAAATGAACAAGAGTATACCTTCCCCCCTTTTTACTCTGCCTCCTTTCATAACATGCAAATGTGCCGTCAAGGCACATGGGGATGTGGGCAGCTGGCGCTTAACGACAATCGACGTGGCCAGCCTTGTACGTGAGAGGCACAGTCAAAAGGGAGCTGCAACAACAAATAAAAGGGGGTACCCTGAAGAAAACCAAAGTAAAGAAAGGGATATAAATTTAATAAAATTATAAATTAAATTCGTGTAACGGATCTATTCTGCTCCATTTTTGCTTGCTATAGTATAGAGGCAAAAACGTTGTTTTCAGTTCGGGGCCTTCGGGCGGCTAGGGCTGGTTGACATTTTGGCTCAGCAAAAACGGCCCGCAGAGAATGGCTGTTTAAAATGTAAATGGGTACCCCTGAACATTTTATTTGAAGTCAACATGTTCTTCGAACTTCTTCCCCTCTTGATACTTGACTCAATAGTCATATTTCATAATTTCAATGATATTTGTGTCCTTTTTGAAGATCAGGGATTTAATTTTACCCTGCGCTTCAAAAAATATTTGGTGTTTTACAAAATATTTAAATATTACCTTTACGAAGTTGATGTTTCAGGGCACCTGCGCTGTTAATCCCCCCCCTGGGTACATGGCAAAAAAAAAAAAAAAAAAAAAAAAAAAAAAAAAACAAGTTCATGTTTCACTCTTTCTGAAAGCCTTTCGATTCACTCACTTGTCAGCATCCAGAGAGGGCAGCAGCAAAACTGACTGTGTTTTTTAACTTTTTTTTTTTTTTTCTCGACTGGTCGTGCCCTGCTTACCTCTGATGTGTTGTCGGCGGTCTGTGCTCAGGTCCTTCCGTTCAAGTGCAATGCGCAGACTGTTGTCTGGAAAGGAGGAGCGGTGAGTCAGGGTCTCCTCAAGTCCTCTCTGACTCCCTGGCCCAACCCAACATGAAGTCTAGGCCAAAGGCTATTGGTAGGCAATGATTGACGAAAGCTGAACGTCACTGCCGTCTTCACCCGAATAGAACGCTCGGTCGTTATAGCAGTATTTGGGGCGACTTTCAGTCGACAATAAAGACTGGGCGTCCTATTCGGATGAAGAAGGTAATGTTTTGGGTGGTCCTCTGGAGCGCTGGAAATCGTAAACCGTGGGTGGTTGGTGCACGCACAGCATCTCCAACTAACTGGTAGGCCCAACCTCCGGGTAGGCCCATCCTCCGGGTAGGCCCAACCTCCGGGTAGGCCCATCCTCCGGGTAGGCCCAACCTCCGGGTAGACCCAACCTTCGGGTTGGCTGAAGATGCTGGGCTTGAGGCATCATTTGGAAGGGCGACGTGCAGTTTCTAGAAGAGCCCAGGGCGCAGGGTACTGGGATGGGACTCAGCCTGGGCAAAGGCAACTCCGTCTCTCCAGTCAGCACAAGGCCATGCAACAGTGCTGCTCGAGCGCCTGCTTAGCGCGCGCGGCCAGAGGAGGAAGCTGCACGGTGGCAGCGTGGAAGAAGGGGATCCGACAGCCATAGCCAAGCTGCTCGGACCATAGCGGAGTGGCGTTGGAGTAGCGGAGGTCCTTGGAATGAGAAGGGCTGTGGGGAAGTGCGATGAGGCACGCAACTGGTGTTGACGACGGCAGGCTGTCCAATCAGAGTCATCAAGTGGCATTGGGCTCAGTGGAACCTGTTGTAGCATAGTTCACTAGGTTTATAGGAG